ATTTTGATGTATCTCCATTGGAGTTGCTCTTAAAGCAAGAGGCAACTTATCGAATAAAATATTTCTCAACTGTTTATTCAAACGATGCCAAGTGTCAAAATTTTAGATGAAGGTTAAGAAGAGTATTATAATTCAATGAATAGGGTATGGTTCATTATATAAATTTTATTTTGTCCAATTAACAAAGAAGTTGAGTTTATGTGAACAAAAATTAGCTGTCCCTGATTTCAAATAGAAAGAAATCCAACATGGATTCAACATAAATACAGCTAATTTTGTTTTATTTATTATTCAAATAATATTTCGTACTGAACCAGGTGGTGCACGTGCGACCTGTGAAAAACTGAAAAATGACGTGGAGCAAGTCCACGACCATAAGGACCGCTGGCACGTGGGGTCCAGCTAAGCAACAAACGGCATCGTCGTATTATCATCCTTGGGTCGTACCGATTGACACGTGGCAGCTTAATAGGGGCTTAATATCAAAGACTACTAAATATAAAAGGAATAATTAGCAAGACCCCTCATCTAGGTAAATGAGTTAAGAAAACACCCCCTCCCAAAAATAATTAAAGAAAACCCACTTACCTAATATCCTACCCAAATATTATTTAATAATTCCCAAACCACCCTTATTATCCCTAACCATTTGCCGTTCTCTCTTTTTTTTCTCGTCTTCTCATCTTCTCGAATCTGCCATTCTCTCTTCTTCTTCTCGTCTTCCCTCTTCTCGTCTTCTCTCTTCTCACTTCTCTTGGCAATTACCTCCGCCATGGATTATCGGTCAAAGGAAGATGTTTTTGTATTCGCCACCTAACTGGCCATGGCGGCGGTGTTCCCAGCAGCACTCCAAACCGCCGTCTCCGCTCGGGAACTCGCTGCCCAGCTTCCCGCCGCCGCCAATCCCGACGCACACGTCATTGTTAGGGATTGGTTTCGAAGGAGAGTTGGATTCTGATGGGAGTAAATCAAGGCCCATAAGCAATTAGGGTTTTTTGGTGTAAAAACAGTTAGAATATGGAAGTGGGGTGGTGATGCTGTGGTATGGCGACGATGTGGTGACGATGAAGAACAGATCTAGGGTTTTTTGGTGGATTGTGGCGGAAAACGGCGCAGAAAAAAAAATTCGCGCAGGCAGGACCCTTAATCGACTACGTGGTTTAATCGACTATTGAACATAGTCGATTAAGGCTTAATCGACTATGTTCAGTAGTCGATTAAGGTTAACCGACTCTAGTTGTTAATTTTTTTTTTTTTGATTTTTTGTTTATTGATTCCAATGTATAAATCAATTACAATGTTTGTATTTTTTTTTAAATATAATTGATTTTGTATTTTTTTTGTAATTGTGATTTGTTATTTTTAATAGTTAAATTTTAATCGACTATCCATTAATAAACCTAATAGAGAAAAAATTAAAAAAAAAATTTAAAAAAAAATTAGAAACAAAAAAAAAGTTAAAAAATAAAGAATTTCCTTAATCGACTATGAAGCATAGTCGATTTAAGACTAATCGACTATGCTTCATAGTCGATTAAAAAAACGGAAAAAAAAATAATAATTCGCGGAGCGCGTGGCCCAGTCATGAGGTGGCGGGCGGGGTAAAGCTGGAAACAGAATGGCTGAAATTGGAACATGGGCTTTTCTCAAATGGTCTAAAATATTTTGGGCCTATCCCCATTAAAAAAAGTAATGAGGGGGTTATGTCAAAGAGCCCCAATCGTTGTCATCTTTGATTAGTACATTTCAATTTATTTTGTATTATATTTTCTTGGGTAAATTACGGCCACCTTTTTTAGGTAAGATCAAATTACGGAAAAATCCCTTATGTTTAAATAATCACAATAATTCATCAACTATGAATTTTATTATACGACCATCACTGGTGGTGTCAAATTTAGTGGAATCTTCTATATTATGTCGAATATTCTCCAGTTTGTATCCATTTGACCAAATTCGAATTCCACATTTTGAAACAAAATTATTGTAAGATGTGTTTTTTGCCTTGTAAATGTCAGATTGTGGTACATCAGAAACTGTATTTTTACACAAAACGAGTACAAAGTAAATGACATTTCACGGAATCTAGAAGGTTATGTTGCTCATCACGTATACGGCGACGAACGTCAAAAGAAAGTCACCGAAAAACGACGCGAAAAAGTAGGAAATGTACATAGAAGAGGATAGGGATACAATTTTAATACAAATGCATAAATAAAATTCTTATATACAATTTTTCGAATAATTTTATTATTCCCGCAATTATATTCTAACCACAATATTTCAAAAATTGAGAGGAATTGGGTTGACAAACGACTTGCAAAAAATTAGAAAAATGATCTAAATATATATATATATATTAATTACAAAATATTAAATAAAATATGTATAACAGTTACATTCAAACTGAATGGCCGGAAAAATTGTCCTTGGAGTTTTCTGGAATTTCGTCACAATCCTTCTTTTATTAATAAAAAATATGTATTAAAAAAAATACCATAAAATCAAGAATCAAGTTAACAATATTATGAATAGCATAAGCATTAGCCGGCTTAATTACCATCAAGTTGGAAAATTATTAATTTTCTTGGACTACTTTCAGGAGTTATCTTTAAATATGAAATGTTCATTGCATGTCAGCACTGCTGGGAATTTTTTATTATTTTTTTATTTTTATTTTGGGCTGTAATTCCATGTTCAAATTTTATTCTATTAAATATTAAAGGACATACTGAAAATGATTTTTTCTTCCGAAACCCAGAAACCCGAAATTCGAGAACTCAAAAACCCGAAACAATTTCTTCCTCGTGCAAATTCAAACATAAATATAAAACACTATTAATTTCATATTCACTTATAACCCTCCAAACTAAATAAAATGCAGAAGCACTCGTTTGCGTATAAAATTGAGCTTGTAAACGACCTGCGGTATCCAAATCCAAAGAAAATTGAACCATTAAACTAATGTTACACTCGTCACCGAACTCAACTGCTACGTATAAATTATGTACAAGTTTCAACTAAATATATGGCCTGAAAACTCCACTCTCGTCATTCTTTAATTTGTTGGCCTCTTATGCGGAATTTTCATCGTCTTCATACAAAATCTTTGCCTGCATTCCATATTTACAAATAAAAAAAACAAGAATATGAAAAAACTAACCATTTCGGAGGCTGCGAGCTAAATAAAATAAATGATAGGGTTGGTTGCTAATATTAATAAATAAATAACTAAATAAATAATAGTTTTTCGTCTCTGTTTCTTTTTTTACAAGTCACTATTTAGCACAAGAAAGCCATTTCCGGAATGCGGATATACATCAATTATCTAATAATTCTAATTTCTTCACCAATTTTGGGTTTTAATTTTCTTGCATTACATATTTTTCGTTACATTAACTATTTTTTAACCATGTTGTTATTAATAATTATTATTTATCTAATTTTAGAGTGCCTCGAAGGATCAAAAAAGGAATTAAAAAAGGAGGTGAATATTCTTACCTTAATTATGTGATCCAAGTGCCAAGTTCGCTACTTCGGTCTATGACGAAAAACGGCTCGCCCTAGAGCATAATCGTCTCTAATACATGTTAGTAATTGATCGCTGGCCTTCACAAATGGTTAAATATTTATCTTTTTATACAAAGGAGGCGTAGAAAATAACAATAATAACATTAAGAAAGTTTTTTGGAATTATTGAGATTTCGAAACCGTCGAATAAAATAAAAAAATTGTGTTAACATTAAAGTATTGATATGGTAAACGTACTTTGTCGGAAATCCTGCAATGGGGTGCTCTTCCTTCGAGTTTTGAACTGCAACGGTATGCAATATGTCACGTTATCAAAACCACTTTAGGGAAATTATTATTACACCTTATTAAAACTATCTAAAAATCGGTCTACATTTTTACCTACGAAATAAATAATTCTAAACAATTATTTAATACTAGTATTTTAAATGAAATAAAAATGAGAGATGAATTCATCGAACGAATTATCAAAAAAATTAAAATTAAAATCACGGAACTAGAAAATTATTAACATGTAATAAAAAAACATTGGTAAAAGAAGGGACTTCGATTCTCACCGATTACCACCAAGAACCCAACTTAGCATTGATGGCATAGCAATTTCGAGCATTATTCCGCCTGCAATTCTTCCAGGGTGCGGTATTCTGTACTTCGTTATGAACTACAAAATATAAAATTAAAAAAAAAAAAAAAAATCCCGTTACGCAGTAATTTTTTCTGCACGGAAACTTAATTTTTCATGTTTTTAATCAAATAATTGTCTTCAAAGTTCGTACCGACAAAGGACCGAGTCCAACTCCAAGATACCCTTTGTAAGTACTAGCCATATATGCAGCCATTCTAGCTGATCCATGGATAATTGCAACTCGTACTTTCCGAGCATCTTCATATCTGTAGAAAACACAAAAAAATCGAAACGACGAGTTTTCTTTTTTGTTTTTTTTTTTAACCAAAATTTCGAGACACTAAATAAACTAATTTTGTTTTACCTCTTTAAAGAAGAAACTATGTCGACTGCACTTTGTGACTCAAAACTTTGCTTCCATGCTTTATCGAGCTCCTCCGCTAGCTGATGTCCATCCTGTGACCATGAAAATATAACGTTATGTTAATTTAAATTACGTCTCGTTTAATTTAACCAAGTAACTAATTTAAATAAGTCCCAATTACTTAATTTAATCACGACATATCTTCCCATCCAAACAGGGCCTTAAGAGTAATACGTTTTCTTGATAGAGAATAGGTTAAAGATGCAGCATTTCATAAATAAAAATTATTTCTTGATAGAGATATAGATGATCATAAACTCGAGAAAAATTACTTTTTTTTTTAATTATTTTAAAATTATAAATTATAAAAAATAATAAAATCGACCTCAATTGCCATACATCCGCCTTGTCCTAAATTTGGTTGCATAGCGTGTACGGAATCACCAAGTAACGTCACACGCCCCTTCCCCCACGTAAAAGTCGGATTTCGATCATATATATCACGTCTAAGAATTGCATCCTCATCGGTCGCAGTTAATAGTTCTATAACATTATCACACCAACCCTCAAATAATTCAAGTAGCCTCTCCTTTTTACCTAAAATTAAAAATAAAAAATTAAATAAAGAATTTACGTAAAAAATTCTCCGGAAAAAAAAAAGAAAAAGAAAAAGAAAGATTACCGTAGGGAATATCGACTCCACCGGGCGATTCTTTGTGGAAAGCATACCACTGCATTTTTCCTCCGCCCACATCGGAAGAAACAAAGTACTGCTTGCTGCCTAAAAACACACGGTACCTGTGAAATAATTCGATAAACTATTAATATGATTAACCCGTTTAAATTATCTCGGAAACAATATAATTTATCGATAAAATTAGATGCAATAAAAATACAATACAAAATAACATACCCAACTGTCGCTATATCAGCCGGAATAAAATCTGCAATCCCAGTGTAACAAGTGTAGCCCGAGTATTCGGCTTCAGTTGGTCCAAACAAATTCGTCCGTACCTATATTGGATTAACTAATCAATTTTAATTAAGCCAAATAAAAATTAATTCTTTTTTTTCAAAAATTGTAAGAAATTACCTTAGACCATATCCCGTCGGCACCAACAAGAACATCACCCTCGTAACACTTGCCATTATCAAGTTTCGCAATAACCTAAACTTACAAAAAGAAATTATAAATTTCCTAGTATAAATCAAAAATATATTTTTTAAGAATGTAATTAAAATTAGTGAAAAAATCGAGACTACCTTTTGACCGTTGTCCACAAAGTCAACGACATTGCTCTCGTTGAGAATTATATCGGAGCCGACTGCTCGAGCAAGAATTTGTTGCAAAGTCATTCGACTAATGACTCTAGTAACGGGTAGGCCCCGTTCAGCTGCAGGAGTGAATGTATCAAACTTCACATACCTGATTCATCAACTTACACCGTTTTACACAAAACGAATTTTACCCATATTTATTAATTTAGAATTTTAATTTAGGCTAGTAATAAATAGTTACACACATTGATTTTATATTATATTGCTAATCATACAAACTCCATCAATTTTTCCATCCACATTTCGAAAATTGATTCATAATAATTAAGAACAAAAAATCAATATGAAATTATTTGCACAATCAATTTGTCTCAAAATCAGCAGTCGCGAAACGAAAGACGTAAACTGCACTAGACATTTTTTATATGTGAAAAATCGACTTAAATTAATGTTTTTTTAGTCAAAACACACTCTACTAACTCACTAACTAGTGGCCAAGTTGGCAAATTATTTATTTAGATATATTGAATTATTGATTAATTAATTAATTAAATAATGGGACATAATATAATTCAAATATTTCTATATACAAAAAAAAAAAGAAAAAAAAAACACTAACCAAGAACCAGAAAGGCCATCAACAAGGCCATTGAGGCGGTTACCGGTGATGCAACCGGCGGCGATAACCTCCTCCGCCACATCCATATCAATGGCTTCCAACGCCGCCAGAGCGTTGCTCTGTATTTGAATAGGCCCCCTATACTGCCCCTCCCCTCTGACGGCGCTCATATTCTTCTCAAACACCACCACATCCAACCCTTTCCTCTTCGCCGCCAGCGCCAGTACCAAACCCCCTATTCCGCCGCCCGCCACTAGCACCCGCGGCGGCGGCGCCGCCCTCGATGAACTTTCTCCGGCGGCTCTAATTCTTCCCGGTTTTTTCAAGCGAAATTGGGGATGGGTTCTTGTTGTTGAGAGGTGAATTGGATTGTGGAGCACGTTTGAACTCATTTTATTTTATTTTATTTATTTATTTTTTTCGTATGAACAACGTTGGAAAAGGCAATCATGGAATTTAGACAATAAATAGTAGAATCTAATATAGTTGGGATCGGAGTCAAAGTCAACATCCAAATAATAATAGAGATGAAGCGGCGGCGGTGGGGGATGAGGTGGTGGCGCAACCGACTGTGTTTATATTATTACTCATCTTGCGTACGTCTACAAACTTGTTCACGTGTCCACGTGGTCGGGTTTTATTTATTTATTTATGATTTGACTAAATATTTTGTAAATTCAATTCATTTTTTTTAGATTCACCCAAATCTATATGGCATATTGTAATTAGAACTTGTATTTATTTTGCAAGGTTCTTGGCATAAATTTTAGAAAATGAGAACTACTTTCGTAAAATCATAAAACTAAAATTACTTATACGATCAAATTCTAATATTTTAGACCAGCAAATTTCTAAATTGTCGTATGAGTAATTTTAGTTTTACAATGATTCCATTTGCACTGGAAAAAAATATGATAATATTTACACTAAGTAATTAATATATATATATATATATATACTATTGGTGTATTTTTCAGTAAAAAAAAATCGCAATTTTCGGTATTAATTTTGAAAATTTAATCAGATTGAAAATCGGAAATCCCAAATAGTTTTTCTACAGTTCCAATTCCATTCCCAAAAATTTGAAAAATGTCTGAAATCGGAAATTTGGTAATTAGAATTAAAAAAAATTGTTCCAAAATTGAAACCTTGTCGAATTGTAACGGGCGAAAATTGGAAATTCAGTTCCGACTTTCACCTCTAAATATGTGCGTTTTAGCATGCGTTAAATCGACTAAATAAAATATTATTAAAATACGTTAAATTGGATAAATATTCTTAAAATGTGGGTAAATTTGTTAAATTGTTACCTGAATATATATTATATAGATATGGCCCCTATACCTATATGTTCCCGCCATGTGTGTTTATAAAAGGGGAATAGAAAACGACCGGTAACCAATTAGGATTAAAGATATTTTTAATATGATCTCCATTAGTCAATCCCCCACTACCTTAGTGGTAGGTGCTAACATGCGCCGACTTTATATATTTGGATAAACAAAAAATAATTTTTAAACTTTATTAAAAAGATTAAATAATGGGCCATTAGTGGTGTGTGCAACGAGGGCGGTGCAGCATGTGCTAATGTCAACAGTAGCTGGAACTTGGAGGCTGACACGTGTTAGAATTTAATTGGTTTGACAAAAAGAGATTAATGTGTTGATATTAAGTGTATATTTAAGCCATACATATTTGAACAATATTTTATTGAATTTCATACGAAACGACATTTTAATAACATGTCTGCCGGTTGTTGGTCGGAACGATTCGTACAGATAGTGAAGAATCCAGGACTTTTGGCAAGGATATTCGGAATTGAATATAGCAAAAAAACATAAATATATTTAATAAAAATAGTGGACCGAAAGTTGACGGCGTTTTATACACGTAAGACAATACAAATATGTAAACAAAATAAAAGCTAAAAAAAAATTCTAAATTTTATAAGAATATTGGAAAGATTTAGAGAAAAAAAAAAGGTAAAAATATCAAATGAGTGGTAGATTTTCGCATTTTTCAATACAATCCTTGCATTTTCGAATTATGCCAAAAAAATTAGTAAAAAATATTTAGTGCTAAACAAGGGTCAAACTTGGATATGCTGATGCGCAAATTAGACTTTCTACCACTTGATCTACAACATAACTAAAGAATGTTTTTCACATTTAAGTTTATATATCTATATATAAATTCCGAAAATCAAGTAGATCCGCCACTAGTTACAGACTTGATCACGAATGAAATGGCAGTGGATTTCTATATATGCTTGGTTCTCTAGTGAAACATTGGGTTGTTGGCGATGTGAATGACCGCTTGGTTGCCACAGAAGAGAAATATGGAGTTGCTGACATCATGTTGAAGATCGAGAAGTTGTTGGATCCAAATCAGCTCACTAGCAAAGGATCGGAGGTCATTGCACGATATTCAGTTTCAGCGGAGGATCCTGAGATTGTTGACATGTTTATTTGCCTTCCAAGACACTAAGAAATTAAATATCCAAGGAAGACACAAAAACCAGTTGTCTGTTAGATAAGTAATAAACAGAGTCTAGCTCTTGGTAGAAACACATTTTGTCAAGAAGAAGGCAGTAGTCAATTTTGACGGAAAAGTGAAAATAAAGGGCTCTTCCTACATTTAAAAGTGTTGATGTTTCCTCTGCACAAATGAGTTTTGTTGTGGAGTTTGCACACGTAAAAACTGACAAGTGACACCAAGTTGAGCAAAAAATTGGGGAATAATTCTGGATGCATCAAACTTTTGATGAATAAAATCAATCCATGTGTAGAATGATCATCAACAATTGTTACAATGTAACATCTCGCGTCTCTAATAATTTAAAGGGTAAAGTTCAAAATACCTACCCGAAACAACCCCTCCCATTTCTCGGTCAACGTTAAAAAGTGCTAAAAAATGTAACACCGTTAATTCTAGAGTAAAACCGTTAGTTTTGAAGTGGTTTTACATATTTGCCCTTACCATCTTCTTCTTCCTCCTTTCTTCTCCCTCTTTTCTCTTTTTCTTTCTTTTTTTCCCTCTCTGTTCTTCCGATAAAAGCAATTCCCAGAATTTTATCATAAAAAAATTCATCCTTTTCATCAATCACTTCTCTCTCTCTCTATATGAATCATATGAAATCCTAATTAACTCCAACCATTTTCAGATTTGAATCGTACTTCATCTACCTCACAAATCACAATCGTCTCCACAAACGGGTCAAATTATCATCAAATCCACGGTGGCGCTACCTTTGTTTCACCACCACCACTACCGTCGTGGTCTTTCCACCCCCTGTGTGAACCTCTTTTCTCCACACCAAAATCTCCAAGAAATTCAAGAAGAAACGCAGCCGCCAACCAAACCTCATCCCACAATTCGAAGCCATCCTCCTCAGAGATGCCCATTTCAGATTACTCACCAAAATAAAAGATTTTCTTTCTGTTAAATTTCATCGAAGTAGATTTCGAATTGATGATGGGACGACGTGAATTTTGGTGGACAATAAAATCAGAGATTTTTTTTTTAATTTATTCAGGCGGAGGAAGAGGTGTGGTGGTGGTAGAGGTAATTCATGAATTTTTTTTGGTGTGAAATTGCAATCAAGTCCCAAATTAAAGTTTTAAGAAATTTAATATAATTGCAATTAAGCCTTTATTGTTTTTCCTTTTTGCAGTTTACTCACAAACATATATATTCAATAGAGGGGTAAAATTGTCCAAAAAATAGAACAGCTGGAATAAATGTAATACTTTAAAAAAATCAACACGCCACATCAGCAAAATGGACGGATTTTTAACTGAGGGGCTGTTTTGGTTCATTTCGAAGTTCAGGGGGGTGTTTTATACGTTGGGTATAGTTCAGGTAGGCAAAATGAAGTTTACCCTAATTTAAATTCCGCTAATCTAGCATATATTTAGTTGGCATAAATTTAATTAACACTTATGTGCGATTATTTAGTTTAAAAATCATATTATGTGAAAACTGGTGAAATTTCATTTCTAATGGATTAGTTCGAAATAATTTCATAAGTACTTGAATCGATCATAGCTGATGGCGTAGGATCTACGCCCTCAAAACCTCACTCTAAGCCCTACTTCTTTTAGACCGTTGGAAAGTACACCATACATCGGATCTTATGTCGGCGGTGGTGAAAATGACGAAAGGAAAATAGTAAATATAAGAGAGAGCTTGGGAGAGAGTATTCAATGTTATTTATTGAAATCTTTTTGTTAATGTAACCCTAATAGGGTTTTCTCACGAGCCTTATAGTATACGAGAGAGAAGATCATTTTTTTTATCAATCTTTACTGGGCCGTTCCGAGGGTTAAACATATATTAGCAAATCAACCCCCATTTTCTACTCCCCCTATTCTTTAGTGAAACTAACAAAGTGTTTCGCTATAGAATAAGAAGCGAATTACTCGGGCCTAGGTACTCCTCTTTGCTTTGGGGCCTCGCAGGGCTTCGGCCTAGTCCATCTTTATTGGGCCGTTTCTAAGGTTGAACATAGATTAGTAAATCAGCCTCCAACTAAATATGTAGTCATTTGAGTTACCTTTTTAATTCAATTTGAATCAGCTACATTAAATGTTGAATGAGAGAGTTTTGCATAAATGAATGAAAATTTCCCTATGCACTATAATTCTACTCTGGGCGTAATTTTGACTATCTTTTTGTATGAATTTGGGAAAACTCGGAACACCATAGTTGTAGACTTTTGAATTGACTTTCTAACTCAATGAAATACCAAGAAAAAAATCCGATCTCGTTAAACACAATAAAAACTTGAATTTTCCAAAACACATTGAGTTTCAAAACTATGGTATCTAGTAAAATATTTATAAATAAATAAATTAATTAACCTAGGGCTGCAAAAACTATTTATGCTAATAAAAAACATTGTAAAACTGAGTTTTGCAATTAACTCTACATAAGTATGGTAATGGTGGTCCGGCCCATGTCCTAATTCTTTTAATATGGAAAGCCCAATATTTTCAAATTCTAATTAAAATTCCGAGTGTACAAATTCCACCAAAAGGTATGCACATATTTATTTCTATTGCAGTTTTTCTTTATTTCTTTTTCCTTGCTGGAAATAAATTTATTTCTAGAATTCTAATTAAAAATATCTAAGATTCCAAATATAGTATAGGATATATACTGTTCTCTTCCTCACATTAACAAGAAGCGCCCATGGCCTAATGGATAAGGCGCTTGACTTCTAATCAAGCGATTGTGGGTTCGAGTCCCACTGGGCGTGAAATATATTTTTTGTCGCTTTCTGGGTGATTTTACAAGCTCATTAGAATTATTCTTTTTTTTTTTTTAAGTATCATTATAACTAATTGGAAACAAAAAATTAAAAAAATGAATTTTGGAAGTGAAAAAGATTAATTTTGTGACCATTTCATTAGAATAATCATTAGGATTTTAATAATTAATTAATTATTTCGCTCAAATTAAATAAATAATTAAAGAAGTTCAACACATATAATATATTAATTAAATGGCCCAAGTCTAATTAGTTTGGTTATGAGAAAAATTACATTCATTGTTCTAAGTTCATTGTGGGTCTGATATTAGTGCAAATATTCGACAACCGACTATTGTATTTTGAGAGATAATCTGGAAAGACTGTTGCACTCTGGATAATCTGAAAATATTGTCATAAGTACATTGCAATTGCAACCTTCATTCAATTCCTTCTGGTTTTTTTATATTTCGTATTATTTTCGTCAAACAAGTATGTGCAATTTTTTTTTAATTATTTACGCATATTGTTATTTTAACCCCAACAATATTAGATAAATTAATTGGAATATATTTTCCCTATTAAAAAAATATTATGTCGGGACAACTAGTAATATAGACAAATAAATTCGAATTTCCTTATTGCCCAATATATACTCTATAGACAGCCTTTCATTGAATTCTATTTGTAGTGCCCAATTTTGGCAGTCAAAGAAAAACTCAATTGTCCAACCATCAATTTCCACGTGTTTGTCTCTAATAAATAATAATACTACAACATAAAAACGTTTTTTCTCAAATTAAATTTTCTGGTCTACCGTTTTTTGTGGCTCTCCTTAAATAGCCAAACAAAAAATTTCATTATTTTTTCATTACCTCCCTAACATGTTCATCAATGGTTAATATCGTAATCCCATTTACAAGTGGGCCCCCGTCGAAAATAAATATATAACTTAGGCGATGGTCTTCTTTTATTTTTTTACATTAAAAACGTGTGTATAAGTGTGTTGTACTTGCATTTTCACACACCAAAGAACTTGATTTTGCTGTCTTTTTCTGACCTTTCCCAACTAATTTTGCCACCAACCATTACGAGTTGGGATGGAAACGGGTTCGGGTTTGCGGGTTCGGATCCAAATCCGGTTCATTTGGGTCAAATTTGTGTAATGGTTAAAGAACGGTGAAGGGTCAGTTTGGCAGGCTTGAGCCAGACCCTCAAAATTAAGATTATTGGGCCAAAAGTCTAATGAATGACAAGAATCAAGGTGGGGCCAGATGTTCGTCGATGAAGAGGTTAACATATAGAGTTTGCTGACACATAGCTTGCATGGATAAAGTTCACCACTACTTCTCTGCCCTCATAAAAAGTGTATCAGGAAGTGATAGGTGGCGAACTGAACGAGAGTCGTTAGAACTTAGAAGCAGAAGACTCTGAGATACTCTCCCTAAATAGATAAGGGAAACATGTAAATTAAGATGAGTAATTGAACAAACAATTCGAATAAAGAGATTCTAAATTAGAAAATGTCTAATTAGAAACTCTCTATATAAATGAATGTAAAGACCCTATCAGGGTCACGATTTACAATCAATAAGAACACTTTATACTATCTTCCAAACTCTCTCTCATACTTATTATTTTCCGTTCATTATTTCACCGGCGCCGGTTTAAGATCCAACGTCCGGTGTACTTTTCAACGGTCTAAAAGGAGTAGGGTTTCTTGAGTGAGGTCTTGAGAGTGTAGATCCTACTCCATCAAACGGGATATTTTAATACAGTTATATTGAAAATTCGAATTTCACCAGTTCAAATGAAATACTACTTTACCGTCAGACCGTGGCACTTGAATGCTCGGAAACAATTTTTGTTACACAAACTTTCTACTTCTACATATAGTTTTTGAAAGAAAATGTGAATAATTTTCTTGATTAAGCATGTATAGACATACGAGTAATTATTTTCTCATAAGTGGTGAGTGCATACGACATGCACGATCTAAGAATTCAATCGGATCGAGTTAACAAATAAAGTTTGATCGAATTTGAACAAAATTGAACTCGAATCATGTTCAAAAGAATGGATCGGAAATGCATTGAACTTGGATCTATGTGGACCCCACCGAATCCGGATCCGGATCCGAATTGCCACCCCTACATATTTATTATATATCCCACTAGCTAGTATTGTTTAGGTTTGAGAAAAGTTAGAATTTTTTTAATAAGTTATCCCTATATATAACTACTAAAATTAAATAAAAAACTTACCATCTCTTAATTAGTTAGGGGTAAGCATGGAACACGCACTACACCAACTTATTACATAATTTTAATTTCCAACCACGATTAAAAGTGCACTTAATTCATGATTAGGTTATCATAAATTTATATATTGGATAGAAGATTACGTATCCAATTTCAGTTCACAGTTTAATTATACTTTAATTACAAATCGATCTATGAATGAATGGAAGGGTTGTGGAGAACCAATTGTATCCAAGTCTCATGTGATTGGATATCGTAATTAATCATGATGGATTAATTAATTAATCCCGAGTCCCGCAAAGGATAGCCTGGCAGTTGGAGTAAGCGAGCTTTGTGTCAATTAACCCAAGTTTGAATTCATTTGTTAATTTGCTCGTAGTATCAGCACATAACCCCTTTGTGGTTTATAAGATAGCTTCCGTTAATTTTTCCGTCAAACTTATCGTGTGTGCCAAACGTCAAGGGGGTTATCTGCAAAAAGGAAAGCACGATGGAGTCATCTGCAAACATATTACTTTGACGTTTGACACACGTGGTCAAGTTGGACGGAAAAACTAACGGAAGCTACCCCATCAACCATAAGAGGGTTATAGCTTATATTACAAGCACAAGAAAATCATATGCAAAAGCTTATAACAACAGCGGGTTAAGTGTCATTTACCCTATAATGTATTACAATTTTACGTGATACCGGGGCAGCTCCCAAAAAAAAATTATCTACAATTTATAGTTGATACAAGAAAAGGGGGACAAAAATCATAATGTGATTCATTTTTTGTTTTAATTTCTTAGTAAATAATTAGTTACATAATTATTATTACTTGGATCTAATTCCATGAATAAGGATATATATACCTTAATACAGTATTACATATATATGCAGGTCATCTTGTTCAATTATATTCTGGATAACTGAATATTAGTGGTGTCTAGAATCCAATAGATAATGAATAAACCATTCCTCTAAACACTTTAGCTTATAAGCTCTTTTTAACAACTTATTATAAGCCTAGTCAAGCACACAATTAGTAGTTGTATTACTTATTTACTTAATTAAAAATAAAATAAAAATAGGCAAATTGTATTCCCATGCATAAGTCTTTGGTTTGACTCTCCATTTTCAACTATTTTCTAAATTAATTCAATAAATCATGACTAATTCAATACCAAGAAGCTACTTAGATTTTTGGTTGAGAAAAATCTTGTCCACACTATTGGACTTGACTTACAAAATTACAAATAAATTTATATCCATTTGCTTCTTTCTCATTATTTACTATTAACTATTTTCATCAAATAGTAATAATTACTCACAAATCTAATGCATAGAAAGTCAAATAGAAAAAGTCGTCGTTTCACAAACATAATATTAGCCTTTAATATACATATAACATGTGTTTTTTTTTTTTTTTTTTTAATTAGAGGACTCTAAAAAAAGTCATCCCAGAGAAAATTACAATGAAAAGAAATATTGTATGCTTTTAATTTTGCAAAATTTAAAATAAAATATAATAAAAAAAATAGAAAAAGACAAAAATCTAATACAACGATTTCTTCAGACAATATAAAAACACGTTTCTATTTCTGGTTCATGCGAGTATCCTTCATTACTAGTTACCACGTGCTTTTTTTTTTTATTCTTAATAAACAAAACGTTTCAACACGTTTGCCTAACCTATATATACACACTTAAAAATATATATATATATATATATATATATATAGAGAGAGAGAGAGAGAGAGAGAGAGAGAGACTATTTTCCACATTATTTCTTGAAAACCAGTAAACCCCGAGTCAAAAAAAAAAAAAAAAAAAGGGTTCTGAAAAAATCTGTTTTTATTTTTTTATTTTTTGGATTTAATTTTGAAATATGGATTGGGTTCGAGGCGAGAAACTGGGTCACGGTAGTTTCGCGACGGTGAGTTTGGCGGCGCCGACAAACCAGAGTTCTGGTTTACCTCCGTTAATGGCGGCGAAGTCGTGTGGTTTTTCTCACTCTTCATCTCTCGCGAACGAAAAATTAATACTGGATGATCTCCAAAACTGCCCGGAGATCATCCGGTGTTTCGGAGAGAGAATTTCTTACGAGAACGGCGAGCAATTGTACAATATCCTGCTGGAATACGCCTCCGGCGGTTCCCTGGCGGACAAGCTCAAGAGCTCCGGCGGTTCACGGTTGCCGGAATCCGAAGTCCGGCGGTACACTAAAGCTCTGCTCAGAGGGGTGAACTACATTCACGAAGTTGGATACGTCCACTGCGATATCAAGCTTCAGAACATTCTCTTGGGCGAAAACGGCGCCGTAAAAATAGCGGATTTCGGGTTGGCGAAGCGGGTCTTCGGAGGAGGGGAATATTCCGGCTGCGAATTGAGGGGCACGCCGATGTACATGTCGCCGGAGATGGTCGCCGGAGGCGATCAGGGCCCCGCGGTGGATATTTGGGCGGTGGGTTGTGCGGTGGTGGAGATGTTATCCGGCGCTCCGGCGTGGCGGTGCTCCGACGTGGCGAGTTTGCTGATGAAGATCGGCGTCGGCGGAGAAGTGCCGGAGATTCCCGGAGATTTATCGGACGAAGGAAAAGATTTTCTCGGGAGATGTTTTATTAAAGATCCACTTAAAAGATGGACGGCTGAGATGCTCTTAGATCATCCATTCATCGACGGTCAGGATTTCGTGATTTCGGCGGTGAAGGAGAACACAACCTCTCCAAGGAGCCCATTTGATTTCTCGGATTGGGTGTCATCTGTTGGATGTTCAATTACCTCTTTGCCCCCGCCGGAATATTCCGCCGGATCTGTTTCGCCGGCGGAGAGGCTGCGGCAGCTAGTTAGCTATCAAAGCCCTGATTGGTCTGTTTCGGTTGATTGGGTCACCGTTAGGTGAAGGAAGTAATACTTTGGTCAATTTTGATCACTAGAGAAACTTTTTTTTTTTAATTTTAATTTAGGGATTGAAATTTGTTAGACCCATAATGTAGACTGTACATATGAAGAAGAAAAAGATGAATCTATTGACAATTATTTCCATTCAATTATTATGTTATTTAATTTTTCTTGAGAAAATAAGAGTTGCAAAATTAAATTGGATTTGTTAGGCAAGTGGGAGTTGATATTTTTTGCCCAATTGCAAATTGTCTGATTTTATGAAGATTCTTGGTTTTGCTGCTATCTGCAACATGGTATTAGCAATAACCATCGAATTGACAATCGAAGAAAATCCCGCAAGGGATGCCCTAGCGGCTGGAGCAAGCGAGCATGTATCAATTGACATAAGTTCGAACAACGTATGAAACGATCGTTAGGTGAAACGTGTTATATATGGTTAGGCTAGTGTGGTTTACGTCTCTCGCTACTTACAAAAATATATCAAACAACTTATGAAACGATAGGGATCAAGATAATTTCCAAATTATGTAATACAGCACACAGCCGGTCCCGTTATTGTTCGTTATGAACTTTGTCCGTGACCGCACACAGCGATCCCGTTATAGCTCGATCAATCATAAGCTTTGTCCGTGACCGCACACAGCCAGTCCCATTATAGTCCGGTCAACATGGACTCTGCCCTCTTTACGGGGTTCTATCCCGAAGGAAAAGTGTTGATTTTAAATGCCTATGAAAATCTACTCATCTGTTGAGACAGATTACATGTTACGACATTAGGTGTGGTAACAGAATTCTTGTGTTATCACAGTAATAAACCTACTAAAAGCAGAATAAAGAACACAAGAATTTAATGTGGTTCGGATACAAATGTACCCTACATCCACGAGGACTTGCAAAACTAGTTCAGATTTAAGTGTACATTAATAGGACTTAATAAAACACTAAAGACTCCCTCTTTATGTAATATGCCGTTCTTGCATACGACTCGAACTTGTTGATAATCAAAGCAATTCCTTCATCCGCACTCTTGGACTTCCTCCAATGTTGAACTCCTTTCAAACGGCGGATTGACCTCTCCCGAGATCTTTTAAGCACTTTTCAAACGGCGGATTGACCTCTCCCGAGATCTTTTAAGCACTTTTCCCGAAACGTCGATCTTCTCTATAGCCTGGTAGAAGAAACCCGTCCTGTTGCCACACCTGATGTGCGCGGGCTGCACCCTTCAAAGCCTTTATGCTGGGATTTTTCTTATTAAAGCTCCATGGGACTCATATGATGTTGAGTGTTTTATATAGGCACGAAATCACCACCCATAAACCTAACGTGGGCCCTAAGAAATCGATTTAACTAGGTAATAGAATCCTAGTCGATTTCTACTTTTATTCTAGATAAGTACAAAAGATACCTAACTAGAATATAATACATGGAAATAAATCTAAGTCCTAATAACAATATAACAAGACTAGGACTCTAATTAATTCCAAAATATACATGGAAAACAAATCTTTGCCAATGTTTAATTACCACGTATGCCGGATTTCTTCTTCACTAACAGAAATCTGGCGCCAACAAAAAGTTACCTCATGCGCAGGTTATATATATATATATATATATATATATTAAGCATAACATTGTTCATTAAATAATTTATGCATTATTAGAATGCTAAAGTAATAAATAATAAAAAATAAAGTATAAGATGTGATGATATTTGAGTCGTTACTTTTATGTTTCAAACTTATTTTGGTAAATCAGATGCAAGGAGCGTACTTGGGGCTCAACTTTAGTTTAATGGAAGTCGCCGAAACTTGCACCCGCGTCGTTCAAATTAGGCGGGAGACGTCGATTTTTGGTAAAAGCATTCGATATATACTCATCTAAGATAGCTATCTGTAGGACCTCAAACGCTACAAGTTGTTGGGTGCTAAATACCAACACGCAAGTGCACGTATCGCAAACAAGTAATAAAGTGGACTCGTGAGAATTGTAACCTGACATATAAATAAAGAAAAAAAATATTAAAATAAATTAAAACGAAAAAAATAAAATAAAATAAAATAAAAATTAATTTGGGTGAATCGTGAAAATTGTTCAAATTTAGAGCTAGAATAAAATAAATAATTAAAATATTCCCGGGCAACGGCGCCAAAAACTTGTTGGTGGTAATACCTACACGCAAGTGCACGTATCGTACAAGTAATAAAGTGGACAATTAAGTCCAGATATCGATCCCACAGAGAATATTTAATTATTTCATCCTAGACGCTAAATCCTAGCAATTATTATCAAGCCCACCCTACACGGTCGAATTCGGAGAGAATTAACTAAATTAAACTAAATTAAAAGGCAAGCAAAAAACAAGAAAGCGATTTAAAACGAAGATTTAATCAAAGTAAACTAGCCTAGGATTTTATTCTTCCCCCTATGTGATTATTATTTCCCCAATTCCTTCAATTATTCAAGCAATTAACCCGGATTATTAACCTGAGATGTTAAATTAATCATAACCCGCTTCCGCGTGTATTACGATTCTAATACTCTAAATTCAATTACTGTATTACTACGCAATTAATTCTAGAACACAACATTAAGCACAAATCTCAATAATGCCTACCTAAGAGATTAACTATATTCCTATGTTAATACCACAAAAGGCTCTTCTACCACAGTTCTAATTATTAATCCGATCTTCCGATTTATGTGATTAACAATATTATAAAAGCGCATAAAGTGGCCAGTTTCATGAACTTAATAAAACAAGTAAAAGAAATAATCCGGAATTAAAACTTGCATAAAATCATAGAAAATGGTTCATAAATCCCACATAGGGTTCAAAATAAAATCCTAGAAACTAAAGACTTAGCTACTCGTGATTCTTATGATAAAGAAAATAAATTAAATAAGAAAAACTATGCTTGAGTCTTCGTTGATCTTCGTTCCTCGCGTATTGTGGTGTAAAATTTTCGTGCTTATGGTGTGGAGACTTGTTGCTTTTATAGGCTTTTCTTGATAAGGAAGTAGTGAAAACGTAATAGGAATCAATTTCCGCCACTTTCCCCCATCAGGATTTGTTCTTCGATTTTCGCCATGTTGGAGTCCGAATTTGGGAATGTTGCGTGAATAAGAATTGTAGCCCTTGAAATTAGCTTTCCAATGCCGCCAAAATCAGCTGATTTGGAGTTTGTATGAGAGATATATGCTCGAAATGGTGGATACTGTCAAAACTGTGGCGAGATTCCTTCTTCCAATTTGATTTATTTCCTTATTTGCAACTTTTTCCTTTCTTTTTGATCTTTTTTCCTTCATGGACACCTTATTCTTGTTTTCACCTACAAAACACAAAATCAAGCAATTAAAGCACAAATATAATTAAATCTCAACAAAAGATCCACGTAAAGTAAACGTATTGAGCGTAAAATCTACACTCAACAGCTACCAGTTGTCCTAAATCCAATTGGTGTTAGGAAAGACGCAAACCCTAGCCTTATAGTGCATTCAACACACACAAGCGCCCACGGCATTCGATTGTGGACCGCCCATACCCGGACCTCCACTACGTGGACAATTGCTGCCAAACCCAGGCTAAGACTATATTTTACAATAGCTTAATGTAGGATGTAAATCAAAGCTATCTACCGAGATACCTGCCTTAGCCGCGTACATTGGATCTATTATGTTATCTGAGGAGGTCGACGCCTTGGAGATTGCCTAATGATGGAATTCCAAATGCTCACGAGCGAACCCATTGGCAAGGATTGACCTAGTTCGAAAGGATCAAGAGAGCATGATGTCAATTGACCTAAGTTCGAATTTTCTAGCCAATGTTTTCTAGGTCGAGTTCACCGCACATGGTTACCCTAGTGTAGTTTACATCTCTCTCGCGATCGAGAGTGGAGATTCATCGAGTACACTTATATGCTTTGTTGCAAATTCTTTCATTACAAAAAGGGGAAATTGAGTCTAAATGGGAAATCGTCTATAGATTCATATATATTTTTACAAGTTGAAGCCTGAAGGTGTGAAAACTGACTATAATCAGCCAAATTAGAATATCTATGTTTGGAAAAAGATTTTGATTGTGAGTTTGTTTTTACATTATGCTTTTCAATGTCTTGATAAAACGGAGTTAGATAGGAAATAATATTTCGTCAAATATACTTTTAAATTGGTCTTATGAGGTGGTCTTATAGCGCAACAGACACATTCAAAACCTCGACCTCTCACCAAATCCCATTGTCGAAGATGTTCGAATACCATTTAGACTAAGCGATTAATATCCCGTTAGAATAAGGCATGATTTACCATGTATATATATATATAAAGTAAAAAAATATGTTAATATTCAAAAAAAAAAAATAGATCTCTTTATAAAATACCTATGTTTGGTTAGCTTTTCAAATTCTTTTCACTATTTTCCAAAAATAAAAATTATCTTTCTAAAATATTTTCGAAAAAATTTCCCAAAAACAATTCAAATATTTCTCGCTCTAACAAACATGATTTGACTGCTACAGTGAAAATTGTCTTCATTAAAATACAAATCAAAATCACTTTATCTTTCAAATTCTTCTTAAAAAATAACTTTTTTCAGCACATTTAAGACATGATTTGACTTGCTGCAATACAAATTGTCTCCTCTCAAAACGCAAACAAACTTTATTTTATTTTCAAATTCTTCTCTCAAAACATCTTTTCCCAAAATAAAATAAAAACGGAAGCCCAAAAGCTTACCAAAGATGAGCAAAGAAGATTGATGAATCACATATAACACTACTCTTGTCACAAATTATTACAACATTTAACTAGGCACAAGTAGAAAAAAAAAATTAAAAATAAATATTGTAATAAAAGAAAAATTTCGAAGAATCATCTCCCAATTCTCCTCCTCGTTTCCGATCCACCAAACATTTTTCTTCCGTTCGCCTCTTCCTCGTTCTTCTCATCGCTCAACATATAAATAAATATTTTCATTTTCCCTCTCTTTTCTTTTTTGAAATAAAAATTAATTTTTAATTATTGTAGGTGCAATTGTTCAAAGGAACAAGCTCATTCATTTTCTTGGGGTCCAAAACAACCGAGCATTGGACTCCATTTTGGAATTTGGGCTTTACCAACCGGCCCATTATATAAGCTCTGGCCCGAACCGTTAAAGTCAAATTCAAAGCAACCGGTTTAACCGGTTTCCCACCTTGGCTGCTCAAGTCAGCACCGCCGCCGTACAGTGGGATGTTGTCTCCTATTAACACCACCGTCACGGTTTTCTGGCTCTTTCTTGATGTATAAAACTTTTCCACCTGCAAAAATAAATATTGCAAATAATTAATTCATTACTCAATCAATCCACAAATGAACAATTTTGATTTACAGTAGAACATCAATAGATTAATAACATCGTTTCAATTATACTTTTTTTCGGTCCAAACTCGGTTAAAAATGCTAAATTATTAGTTCGATAATTTAATATTTTGTTAAATTAATGGAATTTTACTGATTCGGACGGAATTAATTTATAAAAGGTTTAACTGCACATTTTAAAATTAGAGTCTCAATCTAGTATTTTGATTTGCTATCGATTAAGTGGTGTATATTGCACTACGAGGTGCAATATTATCTGAAGTATGAGTTACTCTATCCGTTTTAGGTCTCTTGAAATATAATTTTATTTTTCTTATATTAAGTGTCGCTTTAGAATTTCGGTGTAGGACAAATTATTTTTCTTCCTCCAACTTTATCCTAATATTAATGACAAATTAATGAAGTAATAAAGACAAAATGAAAAGCCATAAGAAGGTAATTTTGTCAAATAAGATTTTTCCAACCGAAAATCAAGTCTATAAAGTTTTTCTAAATGGCCGACAATACTACACTGTTTTCTACTCTTAAAATAACAACACTATGGATAAAATGTCACCCTAAGTTAAAGTTAAATTACGAAAAAACCTCTTATGCTTGGATAATTACAATTACTTCGTATACATCAGCATCTAGAGTGTCAAATTTACCAACTGAATTAGGGGTGTTTTCATAAGAAAATACATAGTTAAAGGAAAAGTTGTAATTACTCAAATAATAAAGTTTTTTTCGTAATTTTTTCTAACCTCAGAGGGGTTAGTCGTAATTTACCCAAGGAAAAATTGCAAAATTATGTATGGGAAAAAAAACATAATTGAAGAAATGAGGATGAAATTATGAATTGGTATGCTTACTGAACCGGTGGCTAGTGTGAGGTCGGTGAAAGAAAGATCGAACGGTGAAGATGTGACGTGGACTCCAAAAAATGTACCCTTATTTCGGAAAGACATCTTGACCGTTGAATTCATAGTCACCATCACTGTAGCTACTCCAGATGAATCTGTGCCTGCTTGTATCACAAATCTGTCGAATAATATACTCTGCACAATATATTATATTTTATTATATATATATATATATATATATATAAGACAAATTGTTGAAATATATGGCACAAAAATAAATAAATATTAATAATAATAAATTATTTATGTAATTATTATTTATTATTACCTATGACTTTTGTTTAACAGCTATCGATCTTGGTAAACGCTAATTAAAAATTGCCAACATCTATTTATTATTTATTTAATTGTTCATTGTTTACGAACTAGTAGTACAATAGTTTATTAATTGTGAAATTAATAAGTCAAACATGTGAAATTACCATTTACCCCTACAGTCACTAAATAATAGAGTATGTCGCTATGTGATTAGTTGACTTGATTAATATAACAAAACAAGATCTTCAAATATATAAATTAATTAAATAATAATAAAAATTGGTTAATGTTAATTAAGCAAAATAAGTCTCCACTAATTATTAATTACCACAGATTAATCTGAATGAAAAAATATGCAGACACATTAAGAAACTTTTGAATTGATCAAGCAATGAATCCATCAATTAGAACAGATTCACACAAAATTGCATATATGTATCATGTATGTATACATATATGCGTAAATTATGAAAATCTCCCTAAACTTAGATTAAATTACAAAAACCGCCTCCACCTATAGGTAATTACCAAAGACCCCATGAGGTTTGTTTTTTGTCTTACACTAACCCTTTATACTGTGACTTTTCACGGATATCTTTTATTCCAGTGAATAGTATAATAGACTCTGTACACATTTTCCGGTAAAAAACTCAATCAACAGTCGTCAATCAAAGGGGTATTTTGGTTATTACAAATATGTGGGGTGTTTTCATTATTTAGCCTAAGTTCAGGGTATTTTTCGTAATTTACCCTAATATATGTATATGTATATATGTATGTATGAGTACCTTCATGGTGACGACAGGCTTCTGATTTTTACTGGCGCCCCACAGGATCAGAGCAAAGAAAGAGAACAGCACGAAGAAGCCGACGACAAACGCCGGAAAGTAGCACCGCCGCGGGAAGCCGCGGCGGGCGCCGCCGTCGTCGAGGAGGCCCTCCTCCTCTATGGCGTCGAACTCCTTCCACTGCTTCTCCGCCTTCCTGTTGTTGTGGTGGTGGTGGTGGTGGCGCCGGGATCCGTTGCTCGATTTCTGCGAACCGGGTTTCAGCGAACCGGAGTACCGAGTCGAGGACGAGTCGCGCGAGTGGCGGCCCGGTGAGCCCATGGGGCTGAGTACCGGCGTCGAGTGGAACGAGTTCGTCGTCTTCTCGCCGTCGTGAGAGTCCCTCGACGGACTCTGCACGTAGTACACCGCCCGGTTCGGCGACGACGGCGCCAGGCTCGTCACCTCCGAATCGGTCTTCGAGTGATGCGTCGCCATTTTTATTTTTTTCAATTTGTCTGCTTCGAATTTCGATTTCGAAAAATTGAATGCAGAATCAGATTGATATATATATATCTATCTATATATATATATATGTGTGTGTGTGTGTGTATGTATTTATGTGTGTATAGAAAGAAAGAGAAGTTTTAGAGAGAGAGAGAGAGAGAGAAAGAGAGGAAGTTTTAGAGAGAGAAAGTAGTGGTAACAGATCTCAGCAATGGAGGATTTGATTCTTTGCTGGAGGAGTGTAGAAAGTCCAAGGAAACACAGCACGTTCATATTTCTGTTTCTTTTATTTCTTTATTTATTATTTATTTATTTAATTTATTAATTTAATAGTATTAATTTGTATATTTGTGGGTATTTTTGTGAAGGTTGCGTGTGATGGGAATTAAATTAGGAGCAGAGAGACAGTTTTCTAAGTAGTGCCAGATTGCCAGTTGGTACTGTAATTAATTATTAATTAAATTTGTCTCCTCTATTACTCGTTTTTTATTGGACTGTTTTGGACTAAACATTGTCTTAATTGGAACAAATTGTGAAATTTATGAATTAATTCAGCCCACGGTAAATTACAACCGTCCCCTGATTTAAGATCTATTTATGAAAAATTCTTCATTTTCTCATAATTGCATCAACCCCTGTAATTTGTAGATTTCTTACATTAACACACATTTTAAAGGATGGATATAAGAAATTTTCAAGCGATACAGGGTTTGATGTAATTTTTCAAAATTTAGGGGTTTCTTTGTAAATAAAGCTTATCTATGGAGGTGATTGTAATTTATCCTATTTGTTATAATATTACGCACGAAAGTAACACAACTTTTTGTCAAAGGCATGAATGTCTAATGATGGAAAATTGATTGTTTTTGTGTGGAAGTCCAATTGATTTTTTCTTAATGGTAAAAATCCAATAGGTGTTCTAACTTACTTGACTAGGCTTGTTTGGCTTATTTATTTTAAAACTGATAAGCTCTTCTATACCATAAGCTATTTTTAGAGTGGATAAGTTGTTAGTTTTATTTTTATAATTACTAATTTTTAAAGTGTTTCGAGAATGATCTTGTAAACTATTTTTTCTCATTATAAAATCTTAAATAAAAAGATCGGATAAAAGATATTTTTTGCTCATTATAAGATTTTACATAAAATGGTCGGGTAAATGTACTTTAAAAAAAAATCTTATTCGCTCACTACTAGCTAAATTGTTTTTAGAATTTTTACGAAACACTTTGAAAGAGCTTATACGCTTTTAAACATCTTATAAGCTCTTTTTAACAGCTTCTAAGGTTAGTCAAAAATCATCTCAATCGCATAAAACTGAAGTTTTGGTAGTAGGGGTGACAACTTCAATTTGTCCGTCCGGGTAGCTTTTAATTAAACTAGTATTTTGTCTCGTGCGTTGCATGGGCGGATTTTGAAAAAAAATATAAAATAAGCAAAATTAGAAATTAGTAAACATATATGAAATGTACAATAGCAAAACAATGGAACACCGAAAATGTAAAAATTTCACTAATTGCAATCATAATCTATATATCTATTTTACAATAAAACTTAATACGCATACGTAGCTATAAAAAGGGAGAGAGAAGTTAGTGTTGGTAGGGAAGAAAAAAAAAAAGAAAATAATTAAAAAGAAAAAACAAACGTATAAAAAAAATTCAAATTTGATCGTGTTTAGTGGAGAATGGAAAAAAAACTAGAAAAAGAAAAATAAAATAATTTAAAAAACGTGTCCTATAAAAAAAGAGAGAAAATTTAGTGTTGGAAGAAAAAAAAAGAAGAAAAAAAAGAAAAAAAAATATTTAATAATAAAAATATTTAAAAAAAAAATTGACCGTGTTTAATGGGGAAGGGGAAAAAAGGAAGAAGAAAGAAAGAAAAAGAAAATAATTAAAAAAAAACCCGAAACGTGTTCTATAAAAAACTACTTTTAGGGTTTTGGGCAAACCTTTCTTTTATATATAAAGATTACTAAAGTTCCAACTTTCTTCAATTTTGGGGAAAAAAAAATCAAACAATATAACTTCTTGTACCAACTTATCACCACATCTATGCAGGCATGGAACAAAAATATAATTTCTTGAAGTAATTTGTACAGGTTTTCTTATCATGATTGATATCCATTACCCGTTGGTTTAAACACGGCGGAAGCAAGTACAACAAGTTTTACCGGAAACAATTACATGAGTAACTCGCGAATGTAACACAATAATAATTAATTGGATTAACAGAAATTGATAACTCCAAAGTTAACTGTAAGAAGTATTTACAATTGTGGAGCTTAGGGATCTCTAG